TTCGATCCAGAATAAAGGAGAAGGATTACGTTAGGTTAGATTAAAAATATGGGAGGTAGAGTTGGAATTATATCCGTTCTGATAAATCATGTATTAGAAGAAGAAATAATTAAATTTAAAGTGCTTATGCACCATAAATGGGATCGGTTGAGAATTGAAAACACTAAAGGAAATGTTAAAGCGTATGGATGAATTAATTTAGAGCATTCCGTGATAAAAAAAGTTATTTGTGTAAAAACCTTAAATGATCATGTCCGTAAAGATAGCTGTTGAAATGATAAGTAGTTTGAGATCACTAATATGGAGTGGGGAAAGCTCTTCGGTTTTGCAATGTGATATGACCTTATGATATCAAGCATATGAAGACTACTAATGGCTTGTGGAGGCATAGTGACTCATGTCCTTACAAGAAAAAAATGCTAAGGCAATAATCCCTTCATTTTATGGAGGTCGTTCTGTTTTAACTAAAGCTTCTGTCCAATAAAGGGGATTCCTTCTCCCTTTATGATAGCTTTTTTAAGGTGTGATCCTTTGTAATTGTCTCACTTCACTCTGTAGCGGTGTAAACCTAAGAGGCTTTATACTTCAAAAGAGTGAAAGGGAACAACAAATGCTTAAACAATGAACTCAATAGATCAGAGAGGAGAGATTAAGGTTGGACGAAATGGTTCGACCTATGCTAGGAACTATAGATATGAAACATTATTCAACTTGATATTTTTGTTGAAGTTTGTCAGTGTTTGGGTAGATATGACCAATATTATGGACACCCATGTCAACATTCATGTTAACACATTTGTTCTGGTATCCATAAAAATTGTTTCTGCTTGACTCACATTCTGTATCAAGTGGATAGTAAGTATTCAAAATTGTCTCTGCTTGACGCACTTCAATATATGCATGCATATGTATTAGTTTGTTTGTGTCTGGGCATATGTGTGCTTGTGCGCGTGCGCTTGTGCATGCGTGTGCACATGTGTTGGTGTGCATGTCTGTCGGTATATGAGTTTGCGTATATATATGTATATCTATGTATATCTCTTTGTATGTATGTATGTACACATATATATGTAGGACCCCCCCCCCCCCCCCCAAAAAAAAAACACGTATCTATGTGAAAATGGGTGAATACTTGATTAGTATGCGATTTTAGTTGGTCAAAATATTTGTATTATTATGAAAATCCAGTATGTTTTACCATTATACTTAAAAGAGTATGAAATCTGAACTGTCAGCTTAGTTTCGTCCTTTTTACAAAACTACCCAAATTGCTCTATATCAAAACCATTTACATATGTTGTTGTTGTAAAATGTGTAAGAATAGGTACCATAGAAATGAGATACATATTTTTGAGTTTATTTTTGCCCCATTCTTTATATTAGAAACAGCATTCTATTTTATTATAAATTAAGGTTATACCTTCGATTTATTTACATTGAAGTATTATCAATGTTTGTTGGTAAATTACATAGCCAGTGATGATTGCAATTAAAAGAAACCTCTTTTGTTGCTAAATAGTTCATCAATAATTGATCAAAGCAACATCCTTCAGGGCATGTTATCTAGTGTTCTTGGAAAAGTCTTACGGTACATGTGTATATTTGTGTGCTCATGTGTGTTGGGTTCATGTTTGTCTGTGTTGTCTGTGTTTGTAGTCGTGCATGATGGTGTGTGTATGTGAAAATAGCTTACGTAGTGTTTTCAAGTTCTCTTGTTGTCTAAAGCTATGGCATATAATTCAAGAGCCTAAGTTATACTGTATTACTGGTGTAGTTAGAAACCAAACTTATTACGAAACCACTGATTTTGTAGTAAGCTTCATGGCATGCTGTATTGTTGAGGTAGTTAGAAATCCCATATGAATGAAATTATTTTTGAATATGCCTTATTGAAGCATCCAAATTGAAATCAATCTAATGGGTACAAAGAAAATTAGTGTAGTTTGCTTACTGATTCATGGTTTTGGGTCATGAAATAAGTTTAAGATCATTGTTCATCAAAAGGAGAAACTTACAGGCAGATCATATATCTAGCTATCAAAGAGGAAAGAAGACATATAGTGCTATGACTTATGTCTTTCAGGAGTAAACATAATGACCAAAAACCTTGAGTGACTTGTCTAACTGTCCTGCCAGTGCTCGCAATAAAGTAGTCTTTCCACACCCTGGAGGTCCGAGTAAGAGAGTCATCCTGCAATCCAGACAGACCCTGCGTAAATAAACTTCCAACTACAGGAGAAACTGAAATATTCTTAGCGTTATGAGAGTAAATATGACTTTGGATAATGATTTTTGTTCATTTTGTTTGTGGATGACTGTGGGAAGCTTCTTTTAGTATCCAAACTGACCGGTCTCACATCTGTTAGCAATCTCCTTTAGATGAGAAACTCATCTCTAGTTGTCACCATTTTATAAAATGAGGCTATGTTTTAACCTATGAGTACAATTGTCCTAAATACTTTCCTGGAAGGCTTGATAATGCCACTGATGTCATTTAGGATGCTTATCTTTGCTTCTTTTGCCTTCAAACCGGGGACCTTTGCAAGACCCTGTTCCAATAACATGAGAATTATTATAAGAATTTTTTTGAAAATAATCAACCAAATGCTTAACTAATGCTAAGATTGCTGTGCTTGATTTTTGGTTTATATACACAATATAAGTATCCTGTAAATTCACTGTGGTGTATGGAATGTAGATGAAATCTGAGCAAACCTGTTTAGGAGGTCATTTCTTTCAATGTTTTAGTATTCAATGGAACCCATAGCTTGTTCAAGTGTCAATAGGCCATGCTGATTAATCTGTAAGTTTATTGTCTTGTGGGCAAGACTCTTCATAATGAAATGTAAGGACACTCTAAAGGCAAGTCCTCAGAAACAGAAAAAGAAACACCAGATCAATAGAAGCTGGATTATAAGCACATATCTCACCTGAAAAATGCCTTTGGCAGCATTCCATAAAGTGGGCAAAGCCTTCCCTTTTACTACTTTACATTCTGCTTCCACCGACAAATTCTTGTATCTAACTTCAATGGTGGGAAGTTTCACATTTACTCTGCAAAAATCCCTCTTTGTCAATGCAAAGCCATATCCAACACCATATTTACATAGATTAAACCCATCAGAAGGGTAATTTTTGCATGAAACTGTACTTTTTTGCTGCACGATTTAGAATTATTAGACGTGTCCACGTTTTAAGTTTCATACTTGTATATATGGAGTTATGCACTATTTTTTCTGCCAGGCTAAATGTACGAAAAAACAGAGTAGATTATGATAAGTTGTTTGTATTTGGAGCTTTATCGGACCCTAGGTTCTTTCTTTCAATATCTTACTTTCCTGTCCTTATCTGATGTTTATCTTTTGGATACTCTGTGGTAAACTTAGCCTACAACTGGAATCTAGTGCAAATCTGGTTTAATTATCAGGAATATAATACCTCCAACGAGGGGTTGATCTGGATTACTAAATGAGAAGCCTATATAACGTAATTTGCACTTATATAATCCACTGTCATACTGAATTGTTTGAGATAGCGTATACATGTGTGAAAAAGGCTTATAAACAATGCCAATTAGGAGAAGTAACAGGATCATGATTCATAGATCACTGAGCACAAAAAATAGCTATAAATTAACATGGTGCGTCTATTTCCATGCTTCTTAAATTCTATCTGCTAAACCAATTATTATTCTGTTTAACAAGTTTGATTGGTTCAGAAGTTTTACTATGTTTATTTTTATTTATTTATTTTTTATATTATTATTATTATTATTTTGTCCATCCAAATTGATTACTTCCAATTATCACAAGTTTGTGTGTGAATATCTATTCACTGACAATGTAAACAATTACAGCTTATCTATCTATTCTATTTTTGTTGCTGCAATTATCACAAGTTAGTATTCAGATTTCTATTCCGTTGACAATACAGACAACTAAAGCTTACCTGTCTATTCTTTCTCTTTGTTTCTGCAGCAGCCGAAGGTTATCGTTCTGAATGTGCTTGATGAGCTTCTCGATGAGCAATCGCCTCTCTGAAGCCCCGAGCTTGGTGACATCAACAACCTTCTTCTTCTTCACCTTCTGATCCTCACTGCTGCTTCCATTCTCATCAACCACTGACTTTCTCACCCGCTCAAAGGTTCCACTGACTTTCTCACCCGCTCAAAGGTTCCTAACCTCTCGATTGCTGCCCACTGGAGCTCATACTCATCATCTATAATTGAATTTCCTCGGGAGCTTGAACCACGGAGTCGAAATGATGACCTTATGCTTCTTTCAAGCTCATCTAGCTCAAATCCTGGGGACTCAGGTTGGTCTCTGTCAACTGACCGAGCCATTGTTGCAGTTGAGGATCTGCGGAGCGAGGAGACAGCTGAAGAGTTATAATATGAAGGGTATATTTCACTAAACCCTAGTTTGGGCTTTTGGCACTTAACCCCTCACTGAACCCCCAATAAGTTTGGGAATCCCAAAAAAACGTCAAAACATTTTGTTTTTTTAAATAACTTTTAACCCCATAATGGCATAACGGCATGTATGAGTTCTCAAATAGAGAATGTTACTTGAACATCATAAAGTAGTCATTGGGGGTTAACTGATATAAATTCAAACATTCAGCGCGGTTTTGTTGGAATTCCCAACTTAATTGAGGTTTAGTGAGAGTTTCAAACTTTTTGGGGTTAAGTGCTAGAAGCCCAAACTTAATTGGTGCTTTAGTGAAATTTACCCATTATATGAACGAAGAATTCGGCCGAATGGCGTCAGCCGTTTCGTCACCGCTTAACATAACCGGAGCGGGATTAACGGTAGAAACATGTGTTAGTGTGCACGGAACGCGAGTACATTATAGTAGTGTGAGCTTGAATTTGAACTGTTTTTTTTATCCGATTTGATGCGATACTTTGTTTTTGGATGTTTATGTTTATTACTAACAGAGCAAGTAACATCTGAATCATTAGGTTTGAATGGAAAGGGTTTTTAAAACATTTGAGAAGTTTCCGCGTTTGTTTATTGCAGAGCATGTGAAGGTTTGAATGGAAAGGGTTTTTAAAACATTTGAGAAGTTTCCGCGTTTGTTTATTGCAGAGCATGTGAGTTATGCTGTAATATTATAATATAATAATGAACCCTTGAGATTCAACAATCTGCATTTAAGTTGGAGTAGTGACGAGCGAGCATAGTTGCCCACAAATAGCAGAGTGGAGATCTAAGGGGCTGTTTGGTTGGTTTCTAAAAAACCAAGAATAGGAAATTGTAACTTGGAAATCTCCAAAAGTTTAATTTCCACCATTTCCATCCCTAAAACTTACCCATAACATCCAATAAAATATTATTTTCATTCAATAACTCATCCACATCATCCAATAAAATATTATTTTCACCCAACAACTCATCTCATATCATCCAATAAAATAAACCAAACAAAAGAAATGGGTCACATCATTCAACTCATCTCATCTCCATCCCATCTCATCTTTAAAAATCACCCACATCATCCAATAATATTGTGACAACTCATCTCATCTCATCTCCATTTTATCTCCACCCATTTCCTCAAAAAAAACAAGGAAATTAATTTCCTTAAGTGTGGGTCACATCATCCAATAATATAATGACAACTCATCTCATCTCATCTCATCTCCTATTTTTAAGAATGAACCAAACACAAGAGAAGAACCTATTATAAGAAATAGGTTTTCTATTCTTTGATTTCCTTCCTTTTTAACCAACCAAACAACCTCAAAACAACTTTTCTTAAAAAATTACTCACATCATCCAATAATATTGTGACAACTCATCTCATCTTATCTCCTATTATTTAATTTCCTTTTTTTTTAGCCAACCAAACAACCATAAAATAATTTTTTTAAGGAAATAGGTTTCCTATTCCTTGATTTCCTTCTTTTTTTTGCAAGCAAACAGCCCCTAACTGTAAACACAGATTTTCTTGGCAATTTTCTATAAAAGACCCTACATATTTGTTGATAGTAGAACAAAATTAGTATAGAACTTATAGTGCAATTATTATTTTTCTTTAAATTGATGTCCTAAGCTGCTCATGGCTAAATTGCGAATGGCTCCACATCTCTATCTTCAATAGTAATCAAGACCACTCAAACTAATTAATTAGCACATAGCCCTTCTCAATTCACGAGGGAGAGGGGACTCTAATTTATAATTTTTTATTGAAAAATGATAATCGAATAATGTGTTGTGTTAATAAATGAGTTGCAAAGTGTTAAGTTTTACTTAGACACATAAATGAGCAAGAGTGCAAATCTTATCAGAACATTCCATCATGTGGGGAGTTCTCATCCATTTAGGGGGCAGTGAAATACACCAATTGCCTCCTGTTTGACATTTGAAGCATTGAGAACTTTCCATACAGTGCGGGAGGTTCTGATAAGATCTACACTCTTGACGAGTAGAGGTACGTGTAATTCAATTGTATGGTTGTCTAGTCTTTGTCTGTGAGGTATGATTCACTAAAAAGCAAGGGATTATGTTATGACTTACAGGAGGTTTCAAGGTAAGATTAGAATAAGAAGTTTGATTTAAGAAAGAAGCATGTCTTTGTCTAATAATTAGAGATAGAATGATGGACCATTTTAGTATGCCTCACCGTGATAAGTAAAACTAAAATGGTGTTCTATCAATTTTATCTTATTTTTTTTATTCATTTCCTTTTTCGTTGTTGGTGTACAAGTTTGTAGTCAACTTGGTTACAGCCAAGGGCACAGCCAGAGCTTGCTTGTCCTGGCCAGCTGCCCAGGGCAAGAAACTCCGCCTCTCCCATGACCTCTCTCTCCTTCCCTCGCTTCCCCTCCTCTCACGTCACTTCACCTCCCTCTCCCACAGATCCAACCTCCTCGCCCTCAGCCTCATCTCCCTCCTCTTCTAGGACCTCCATCTCAACTATCCTCTTCTAGGACCTCCATCTCAACAATCCCCAGCCCTTCTCCCTCTCCCGCGCTTCACTCCTCTCCCTCACGACATACTCGTAGACCACCTTTATTTTTCTTTCAAGGCAAAAAATAATCCTGGCTACGCCACTGGTACTTACTGCAATTTGATCCGTCCAAATACAGATGACCATGATTATTTATTTATTTGTGCATTATGTATATCCAAAAATAGAGAATGTTAGGTATTAAACGTGAGGGGTTTCTCTCATGTGTACAAGACTGAGTCTCAACCAAACGGAGCTAAGCAATAAAGAACAAATCTACTTTTCTCACTTCGGCATGAGATGCAGCCAACTACAAGTGGAAGTCAAGTCTAGACCCTCTTGAGTAAGGCTAAAGTGACTGCATCAGATATAGTTTTCCTCTGAAGTATGGCTAAACTAAAGTGAGTCCAAATAGAGGGTAGTCTCGAAAAAAAAAACCTATTTTAAGGGTTAAATTTTGAACTGAAAACTAGTTTCAAGCCCGTGCGATGCACGGATTACTCTAAAATACAAAAATTGATGTAGCAAAATAATACAAAATAAAACGGTAATAATATGTAAGCAGTCAGAAATGATACAATCTAAGCTGCATATATGTTTGACTTAATATTAAACTGTTAAAAAGAATAAAAATATAATTCTCATATTCTCATAACAAAACTGCTTAAAATGCCTAATGTCTTTATGATTAATGTCATAATATTTTGTTGTAGCAAGTAATTAGTATGAAGCATAATTTTTAGTTTCAAACAAAATATTCAAAGCACATAGAGATACATGTCAATTATATATATTTGAATGAAAATAATAACTATCAATATATTGATAAACCAAATATCCAGCATAATATAATCATATCAAATATTTAGGTTTATCAACCCAAAACCACCAAAATAATATGCACTGATTACAAAAGCTTACTAAATATGTATTCATACAAGAATACTAAATATAAGTTTCATACATCATAAATCAGATAGGTTTTTCCCTTCAAAATGTAGCTTCTACTCTCCGTAGAATCTAGTAATTATCTTTTTCAATTTTGATATGTTTTTCCTTTTTGTTGCTTGACATTTGCGGAGAGATCAAGTCCACTGAAACAGATTGCTCGACATCAGATTCGAACAAATTTCTCTTGCAAGGTGTAATGTTATCCGAGGAACAAATTTCAACTTCTGTATTGTCACAAGTGACAGATAAAGAGACCTGTGTTTCATTATTACAAAATAAAATAATAGTTAGCATGTTAATGAGGTGGTAGGAATAGATTGTTCTACAATTAATGTGAAGAATTAAGAAATCATAAGTAAGGTGGAAAGAAGTAGGCAATACAGAGGATTTTTATGCAAAGTGTCAAAAGTTAATTAGAAGCTTTAATAATTTGATAATGGGTCAATGACAAATAGAACATAAGACACAAATAATGTTAACTAAACTTCAATCTTTTATTTGATGTCAAAACTTCTAAAACTCAAATGGTTAAAAAATCTTGCATTGTTAAAATTCATTGTACTCATATGTTAGATAAGAATCTAACAATATATAATGCATTCTTTTAAAAAATCTAACATTAAATTCATATTCTACACATTTTGGGAAAATAAAGGCATGTTTATTTTATCTATTTAGTTAGTATAATTATAAGATATAAAGAAAAGTTTCTGGAACTTATTGTGAAGAATCAAGAGAGGAATAGTAAAACAAAATTCAAAGTGATAACTGTGTAATAAGCAGAAACATCAAAAGTGTATCTTCTGAAATAAGTATTGTGAAATATATAGCAAAAATTGGGTTTTCGAGAAATTTAACTTTTCCGGACAAAATTTGCTAACAATAAGGTCTAGAGCTGAAGCTTGCGGACTAATAAACAGATGAAAATCCATTCATAAAAATAACATAAATCAGTATAGATTCGTTTTTTACTTTCCAAGTTAAACGATATACAGGCGTGACCAATTTGATAAACAACAGGAAAAGATAATCAAATTATAACAGTTCTCTATGAAAACCAACTAAAAGTTCAGCTTTTGAACCGTTAAATCCCATTATCCTGATTGTAGTGGAGCCTCCATATGATACGTTGGGGCGAGCATTTTATTCACATGATTCCAAATCTCAAAATATCGACCCAGAAAATATGCCCGAGTATTATGTGTAAC